GAGGCTAAAGAATAAAAATATAATGAATAGACAATAATATCTTACACAAACAATAAATATAAAATAAATATATTAAAGTTAATTAATTTAATTGTAATAATCATTTGATTTGTTTTTTTTCATCTCTTTTACTCTGTTATTTTATTATTACTAATCTTCTTTCTCAAAACATTCTCTTGGAATTCTCATATTATATTTTAATTCTTCATCACAACCACAGTTAAAGAAACAAGATGTCCCAAATGATGTAATTGATGTTGGTATATTGATATTAGTTAATGAGATACATTCACTAAAGCAACCATCATCTATTTTACTAACTGTTAATGGTATATTAATTGACTGTAATGATATACATTTATAAAAACAACTATTTCCAAATTCATTAACTGATGATGGTATATTAATTGATTTTAATGATGTACATTGACAAAAACAATAATTTCCTAATTTAGTAATTGATGATGATAAATTAATTGTTGTTAATGATGAACACTTATAAAAACATTCATCTCCTAATTCACTAACTGAAGATGGTAAGTTAATAGATGTTAATGATGAACAACCATAAAAACAACCATCTCCTAATTTAGTAATTGATGATGGTATGTTAATTGATGTTAATGATGTGCAGTTGTAAAAGCATTCATCTCGTATTTCACTAACTGATGATTGGATATTAAATGATTTTAATGATATGCATTCATAAAAACATGATTTTCCTATTTTACTAACTGATGACGGTATGTTAATTGATATTAATGATGAACATTCTTTAAAACAATCATCATCCAATTCATTAATTGTTGATGGAATAATAAATTCACTAATATCTTGTTGTTGATAAACTTTATTATTATTATTAATCTTATGTAAATTTTCAGGTATTTGAATACTAACTAGTACTGGTTCATTAATAAATATTCTATCTTTACTTATGAATTTTATATTAACTATATTAATGGATGTTAATGATAAACAATTGTAAAAACATTCATACCCTATTTTATTAATTGTTGTTGGTATATTAATGTATTCCAATGAAGAACATTTATAAAAACATCCATTTCCTAATTTACTAATTGATGAAGGTATAATAATATTACTTAATGAATAACATCTACAAAAACACCAACTTCCAATTTCTTTAATATTTGATAGAATATCAATATTAGTTAATGATATACAATCATAAAAACATTCATATCCTAATTTAGTAATTGATGATGGTATGTTAATTGATTTTAATGATGAACAAAATTCAAAACAATTATAGCTTAATTCACTTATTGTTGTTGGTAAATTAATTGTTTCTAATGATGTACATTTAGAAAAACAATAATCTCCTATTGACGTGACTGTTGTTGGAATTTTAACTTCTTTTAACAAAAGATATTCTGAAAAGTGGTTTGCTTCTAATTTACTAATTGTTGTTGGAATGGTAATACTAGTTATCTGTTTATATTCATTGAAATGATAATTGGTTAATGAAATTGTTGTTAATTGATTATTGATACTACTTAATGAAATACATCCATCAAAAATATTATTACCAAATGATGTAATAGAAGTGGGATATCTATGTAAGTAATGATGACATCCTTTAAAACACTCATCTCTATTTACTGACTGATGATGGTATATTAATTGACATTATCGATGAACATCCTTTAAAACAACCAATTCCCAACTCAATAACTGATGGTGGTATAGTGATTGTTCTTAATGTCTCACACCAACTAAAACAAGCTTTTTTTAATTCACTAATTGATGATGGAATAGTAATTGATGTTAATGATTTGCATTCATAAAAACAATTATTTCCTATTTCTTTAACTGATGTTGGAATGTTTATCACTGTTAAATACTCACATCCACTGAAACAATAATTTCCCAATGATGTAATTGTTGTTGGAATATTAACTGATTTTAATGAATCACATTCATAAAAACATTCATATCCAAGTGATTTAACTTCTGGTGGTATTATATTGCCATATTTATTTCTATCATATTGTGTATATTCTATGTTTTTACATATATTTCCTGCTTCTTTCTCTTTTAAATATGTTGAATAATCTACTGTATACCATATTATTGTTTTAACTATTCTTCCATCATCAAATTCTTCATCATATTTATTATAAATATGAAATGTTTCAATATTAGGAAAGAATCTTCTTGAATATTCATTTAAAGGAATTGGATTAAAATGAAATCGTTCCATATTTCCTTGAAATCTTTTAACTCCTATTTCTAAATTAATAAAATCTTTAATATCATTAAAATATTTTGATGTTATCATAATTTCATTATATCCTATTCTTCTTTTTCCAATTATTCTTTTATTGATTTTATTATTGTATATTATTCTTTTGATATTTATTATCATTTCTCTTTCTGATGAATATTCTGAATATTCTTCTTCTTTTTTTATCATTTCTATTATTGTTTTAATATATGTTTCTTCGTTGATTTCTTTATATCTCCATCTTTTTGTGTTTATTTTGATTTCTTTTTCTTGTTTTATTTTATTATTTATTATTATTCCTTTCTCTTCTTTTTCTTCTGATATTATTCTATTGATTTCTTTATTTTCTTCTGTTGTATTGTTTATTCTTATAATATTTATTATTCTTATTATTATCTTATCTTTTTCTTTTTTAATATTTCCATATGTTATTTCTGTATTTTCTATGATAAGAATTGGTGTTTCTATGTTATATTCTTCTGAAAGTATTCTTTCAATTATATGATATTTCCGTATGATTTGTACATTATTTAATCTTCCAAGTTTTGTTGAATTTTCTATTCTTCTTTCATTTCCTTGACTTGTTCCATTAGGAATACAAATGATTGTTCTTTCATTTTCTCCTTTCTTTTCTACTTCTTTCTTAATATTATTGAATATCATTGTTAATTTACTCTCTGTTTTAATCATCATTTCTACTCCTTTAATATTTTCTTTTCTAATTTTCACATTCTTCTCATCATTGGAAATGATTTCTTCATTTATTTTCTTTTCTTCTTCTTTTAAATATTTCATTCTATCAACTCTTTCATATTCATTTCCATCATACAAATACACGTCCATTTCATCATATTCAATATCAATTATCATTGTTATTGTTTTACGTTTCATCTTTTATTTATTTTCAAGTTAGTTTTTCAACATAACTTCCATTTTTCAATTACAAAATATTCTTTATTATTATTTTTGTTATTCAATTAGATAATACACAACATCATTACACAACACATTATTACCTTGTTATTAATTAAACCCATGTCCTACTTATGTTATTTTCTTTATTAAAAAAGAAATCAAATATGATTTACTTAATATTTAGGTTTTCACCATGTTGAGAAGTGAGTGATTTAGTTTCTTCAACACATTTTATTTCAATTGAAATAAAATTCTTTCAAACATGCTCAAATTAAATGGTTCCTCATTTAAGTTGCTGCCTGATTTTTATTTGAATTAAATGAGTATTAAAACTCCTCATTATTTATAATTAATTTTATGATGATTATCAATAACACTATGTCTCATCTCTTTTATCCTCAATACCGCTTAAAGAATCTATTTTTTTCTTAATAATACACTATATGTTCTACACAAAACTATCGTTGATAAATATAGTTTCATGTTGATAAATAAGTAATACTTACATAGTAATAAATAATCTTATATCATAATAATAAATAATATTCTATCATGATAAATGATATCTTTAATAATACTCATATTAAATATTAATAAATAATAACCAATTAGTCTTAAATATGGCATTATCTCACTGAAAGTATCTTCATAAATAGATGATAACCAGAGACTCAAACTTTAGATATGTTCCATGTTGTATTTCTGTTGTGAAACATTCAAATTAATAGAAAAAAATGAATAATTAATATGAAGAATACAATAAAATATAAATTGATTCAAATTGTTATCAATTCATTTTATTTATTTTATATTAAATGTTAGAATAATGAAGTAATTAATCATTATATTTTTATAAAATAAAAATAAACAGTTTTAAATTCTATTATATTTAATTTATTTATATTGATTGTTTCTTTCATTTGATAGTTGTGAATTGTTTATAACCTGTTATTACATTTTAATAATAAGATATTTATTCTAAATTGTTTTATAATTGTTTTCAACAAAATATATTTGGTATTTCATTCTAATTGATTGTTAGTAATTATGTTTTTGAATCTACATTGTTTTTAATTATAAAATATGAAAAAATAACTTATTCAAATTCTAACAAAAATTAGGTATAACTTATTAAATCAAAATTTTAATTAACAAGAAATTTATTCATGTCATTCTTATAAAACTCATTACTCAAATATAGTTTTAACAGAG